TAGCAGGGGGAATTTCATGTGAACAGAGCAAGTGATCAGTGCAGCAGGAATGGAAATTGCTGGAACCGAATCTTCTCTATGGCTCTCCCTGCAGCAGCAGGAAGCTGGCATCCCCTCCTCTTTGCCGCTGGCTTTCAGCAGCTGCAGGACAGCCACACAGAAGATTGGTAACAGTAATTTCCTCTCCTGCTGCACTGATCAGTTGCTCTGTTCACATGCAATTCCCCCTGCTACCTGGACCCCCGCTGTATGCCCCCTGCCGAGTGCCTGCCATGCAAGGTGCTCCCCCATCTGCACGCAGCACCTCCGGCTTCCCTCTGCTACCGCTGGCTGCTGTTGGAGCACAGGGAATCTTCAGATGGAGAGTAGGGGAAGGGGGTGGGGGGCAGTAAATATATAGTACTTACCAGGCCTTTCCTTTCCCTAATGAGAACACTTACTGTGCTCATTCATAACTTTACTATGCTTTAGTTTGTAGATGAACACAGAAAGCCTCAGAGCACTTCTCATTCACTCATCTTCAGTGCAGCTGAGACTGCAGAAAAAGTGATTGGGGAATCTCTTTCTCAAAAGTGAGATATCAGGGGTCTGATTAGACTAATATCTCACCAAAGACCTCCCAACAGCATTGTGAATTTTTTTTTTTTAAATCATTTAAAAATTGTGAATACATTTTTGAAAAATGTAAGGTTTCTTAAAAAACTGTAAAAAGAAATAGTTACAAAAATGAATACTGGGGAAGAGAGGGTCAGTGTATACAGGGGGGGCTGTGTGTAGAGTGGGTGGCACAGAGTGTACAGGGGGTGTTTATTTGTTTCTAATCACACTAAAAAGCCATGCCCAATATGTATCATAATTTAGCCACAACAAGCCAGTATGTGCCATAATTTATCCACACCACCAGGTCACCATCTCTCTGGTAGGGGCCCCAGTGCATTACTTTGCCCAGGGGGCCAATGATGCTATGAAGATGACAATCCTAAAGGAAAAATCAGAGAAAAGATTTATTCTCTCCAAAAATAGCAGCCATTTGTTTTTGACCTTCTATGTTATCTATCAAACCCAGAGCACTACAAGAGTGAGTCATGCAAATAAAAGACATGTCAAGTAGGGTGACCCCACTCCAGGTGCAAGTGGTGGAAACACTTCCCTTCAAAAATAAAAATTTATTTTTTTGGTAGAGATTTATTTAAAAGGAATAGAAGAAGCATTGAAATACTGTACCTAAATAGTGTCTCCTGGGAGATTTATGACAATTGTCAGTTTTAAGGCCATGTGATGGGGAGGAATGATATATACTATATAATATACTGTATATATAAATATGTATATTTATGAATAAGGGTCATAGTTAATAAAGTTAAATACAAAATGCATCCCATTCTTTGTTTTTACTATATCAATGCTAACTTACTTTAAAAGCAAATGTAAATGCACAGCAACAAATACTGCTTTTCTTTGCTTTCCCAATGCTATTTTCAGCTTCTGGAAGAGAAGAAAATACCTGGTACTTCTGAGTATGGGAGTTAGCTTGTCCAACACTAGATGGCTTTGTTCTCAATATTGTATAGTAAAGGGTGTTAGACCCGTTTTTGAGAAAACCTTCCTTTAATGATGTAATGGGTGAGGTTAGTGCCCATATAAAGGTCAGGATGGGAGAGGCCTTGTGGGTTCGGGCATGGGAGCCAAACACCACAGAGCTACTAGGATGTTGTCACCTACTGACCTACAGGTCCTTCTGCAGGGCTGAAGTCCCAGGCACAGTGGTTCAGAACAGCTATCGGAACAGCTGTAGTCTTCTTGACTCTTTTTAAAGACTTTGGCGGGTTGTGAGTGCGGTGCAAAGCCCTTTTAGGCCACGACGAGTACTAGTACACTTGGAAAATAAGTGTGCCATATGGGAGCGTACTTAACTGGGCAGAGCTGTGGAAGGGACATTGGGAGAGACTGGTATACTGATGAGGGCACCTTGATTATACCGATGATGGAAGCCGAAGGCTGTGGACGTAGTATACATGGAGGAAGTGGTCCCCAATTTGTGGGGCTCACAAGATGGCTTACAAAATTATGTGCTGGTGTTCTGCACTTAAATGACAACTATAGAAAGTCTACTTCTGTGTATGTCATTCTGCACTGATGATTTCTGTTAGCATATCATTGTGATGTAAGATGGAAATCTTTCAAGTTACAGTAAAGTGTGAAAAATGCATTTGTCTGTGGACATTCCTTTATTCTCGAACATTAAGGGCTACGGCTAGGAATGTCATGAGTAGGCCTACGGCCAGGAGTGTAACACAATATGGTGGAGGATTACATCTGTAACAGTTGAGCAGCTGTCCTATCCAAAAAAGAAGTGAAGTAGGGACTTGTACAGTTTGGTGCCACCACCTGACCAATCACAAGTCCCTTATAAGTGCTGTTACATAGGGAGAGTCAATAACCCCTGAGTGATTCATAGCTTACACAAGTGGATTCTCTTGCTCCTGACATTTGGTACTGCAGGGGAGTGAAGAAATGGGAAGTGTGTGCTGCTGGGGAGGTGGGCATTTAAGGGAACCTGTGCATTTGCGCATGTGCATGGACAATGAACAAGTTCACTTTAAATGTCCAGGTTCCAAGGCTGTAATCCTGATTTTGGTTTTGCTTACTAATGAGTCATTGACCCCAAACAAGTATACAGGATCAGAGCTGGAATGAATTACAATTACTTGACCTGGACAGAGAATCAGTTTTGAGAAATTATCAGGATGACGGCCCTGGAACTTGCATCTTTAAAAACTAGTATACAGTGGCAGCTCCAACAGTCGCACAAAAGTTGCATTGCCGAATGCCAGCACAAGTTTATAGACTGAATTCTTTTATATCCGTGTCTTATATCTTTTGTGGCTTGTGTTTTAGATTTCGTAAGAGGAGTTGGCCCGTGTTAGTAGGCAAAGTTACAGCCAATGAACTCTTCAGGACCATGGAGAGCACACTGTTGCTTTCTAGCTACAGCAGTTACAGCTCCTAGTGTTTAGGGAATGTGTAATAGTTATGTATATATTTTCGTTCTTTATTATTATGATCAGTGGTTTAAATAAATACAAATTTAAAAAATACATATATACAGTGTATATCTATCTATCTATATATATATATATATTTTTTTTTTTTTTTTTTTGGAGTCCGCTAAATAAGAAATAGTGGATTTAAATGTAATGTAATCTTCTAACTAGACAGCAGGTGGAGCTTTTAACATGTTTTGATCTCTGCCATTAATATGCAAAAAAAAAAAACTATTTTTAACAGGGATCAATAATATATACCTTAAATAGAAATTTACAAATAGCACTGAATGACTCATTCCTTATTAGATAGGTGAGTGTTAAGTTTCAATGAGAGAGATCCTTCCTAAAAGCAGCTGATCAGTGCTGCACTCTGACTGCCAGTGTAAGGGGGGCTCAAACACTCACTACCAATGTAAGGGCGTACACGCACTGACCAATTCTGAGCATCTTGGGGTACACAAGTCGGATTTTGACAATCAAAGGCGCACATTGATTGCCAATGTAAGGAAGGCAAAGACACTGACCACAAAGGTAAGGAACGTACAGAAAATGACCACCAGTGAAAGGGGAGCAAAGACATTGACCAACACTGACCGCCAGTATTAGAGGGTGCAGACAATGACTACTAATGTAAGGAGGGCACAGATACTGACCACCACTGTAAAGGGCACAGATGCTGACCAACAATATAAGGAGGATGCAGACACTGACCGCCAAAGTATGGAGAACACAGACAGTGACTGCCAGTGTATGGGGTAGACACTGTCCAGTAAGGAGGCACAGACACTGACCACTAATGTAAGTAGGGCACAGACACTGAACACCAATAAAGGGGGGTAAAGATACTGACCATCAATGTAGCATGAACATGGGATATGGGAGACTTATCAGATTCTAAAGATTCCTTTACTGGCCACTAATGTAAAGGGGGCATAGACACTTATCACCAATCCTGGGCATTTTGCTTGCTATTGGGGCACACGGAGAAGAGGAGGAGCCAATATTTCCATTGGGGCACCTCAGAGGAGGAGGTTCAGGGCCGTTCTGTGCAAAACAATTACACAGAGCAGGTGAGTATAACATGTTTATTATTTTTGTTTTTTTTTAAAACAGTGCCTTTAGTTTCACTTTACTTGGATTTGTTTTGATGGATTGACTTGGGTACAATCAATCTGCACATACATGCCCACCGGGGCCGCTGTACCGGTCTGATTTGATCCATCTATGGCCGGGCTTAAGTAAAGCTGGTCATCATACACCCTTGTATAGAATTAGGGATACTAGGCATGTGGCCCAATTTATCATCATATTCATCATCATTTTAACATTATTATTGTTAGCAAAAGTTTTATTTTAATTACTTTTTTGAATTCAGGATAATATTATTACTATTTCTATTAAAGTGAATCTCTAGAGAAAACTTTTGGGTAGAGAAGGATTAGAATCTCAGTCTTTGTTTTTTTTTTTTTTTTTGCTGTATATGTTCACACTGGGAAGATTTATCCTCTCTCCTTGTCCCTGTGAACATTGACACAAGGAGAGAAAGTGATGAGAATTTCAGAATTGTACAGGTAGCAGAACAAGGAAACAGGAAAATCTTCCAAAAGGGACATCTGTTCCAGTGACAACCATCTTAGAACACTGTCCCCTCATTTTGGAGAGGATTACACTCACTTCCCATAATGTGTCTAGATCTGGAAGTCAAAAGAAATTTTCAAGAAATGAAAAACAACGGTGAAAGGGATTTTAACAATTTCATAGTCTTTTCAAAACAAAAATTAAGTTTTGGCTGGATATACACTAACCTATTTAAAGCATTAGGACAATTAGAATGGGCCTTTGAGAAAGCAGTTGGTAGAATTGCAAAATTATGTATTTCATTTCTGATTAAGACTGCATGGTACATTGGACCAAGAGACTAAGAGACTATTTAATGTTTGTTCTTTCTTGCAGTGGTCAACAGGTGCCAATGACTGAATATTTTGTTCCTCCTGCACCCCCACCACCACCTCCTGTGATCCCTTCTGCACAAACAGCATTTGACAGTCCAATTTCTGCCCCAGCTTCTGCAGTTCCTAATGCAGCTGCTTCCTATACTCCTACCCCTCCTCCAGCCCCACCCTGTCCATATTCGGGTTCTCCTCCCCAAATTGGATCAGTGGGACCTCCGGTTGCTCCCCCACCACCTCCACCAGGCCCTCCAACTTTCACAGCTTCTCCTGCTCACACTGCTTCCCCTCCCACTCTCACTGTGGAACCAAGAAAACCTCAGATTCCATTCATCCCTATGAGTGACGCGAGGAGTGACCTTCTGGCTGCAATTCGCAGAGGTAAGAGGTAGCTGTCTGCTTGGAAAGCATCATTTTATAGTTACCCACTCGATTATTATGGAACACAGGAGATGAGCAAAGCTATTCATGGTAGAGCTAATCCTGGAAATACTTTAAATACATTGTTGCTTGGTTACTTACTGCTAACTATTTTTTTTTTGCAAGAAACCATTTTTCTATTAACCCCTTAATAACAGTCCAAGCATTACAATAACTAGCTTTTTAAAAGGATTTCACAACAGGTTTCCATTTAGGCAGAGTGAAAGAGACACAGAGGGAGGTAAAAGAGATCCATTGTTGTTTACATTCCTCCTAACATCAAGTATTTACTATTTGACAATCTTTATACTCTCTGTGACCAATCATAATGAACACAATACCTGGTTACCGATTATTGGCAATTGTAATCCACTCTGTTCGGTGGACACATCGGTCCAGGAGGGGAGCAGTGCATGATACCAGCCCGGAGCAGGCACAATCACGTACATACATGTGACCATGTGCAGCGGATAGGCAAGTGATTAAATGCTAACTTTATCTTTTTGACCACATTACACCCATTACACATTACACCCATATTTAGGGTTAATATAATGCCAAGCGGACCCCATCCCCCTGTGAACAAATGAACTACAAGTCCTGTCTACCGTCATAGCAGATGGACTCATAGATGTCAATTAAACATAATTGTGGTGATTACTGCACATGAATGCTATTGACACTTTCTCCAGCTAAGTAACTGACAGCCTGTACCCCATTACGGACATATAGCTGAAGCTTTAAGTCCAGTCATGACTCTTTTTAATCGCCTTTCTTTATGGTGAAGAAGGGTATGAGAATTTCCCTTAGGGGCATTCCCACCTAATATTTTCTTTCAAGTGAGTGTTTAAACTGCATAAGTTTCCAATTCCTTAAGGGCAATTTGTTTTTTTCATTAATTGTAAATGAAAATGCTGCTCGCCAGTTCGTTGGCTTGTATTACACTCACTGCAATTTAAAGATTTGGATTGACAACTTCTACTCATGGATACTGGTTAAGGAAAAAAAAAGTTCCTCCTGCTGTATGTGCCTGATGCTTTGGGGGCTACACGGTCAGACTGTCATTTCCAAGTAACCCCAAATATCAGTTTCCCAAGTTTGCTACCCCTAGGATATCCAATGGAACCCATTGGATTGTATGGTATTTCTAATTAGTATGGATCTCGCATGATTGTATGAGGATATTATCTAAGGTAGTTTTGAAAAACATGGATACTAAAATAACCAACTGCCTTCTCATTAAAGTTTATATTTGTCCCAATGTATGATGTAGGTAGTTTTGAAAGACATGGATACTTAAAGCATCAACTGCCTTCTCATTAAGGTTTATATATTTGTCCATAAGTTAAGGACAAACTCTAATGATGAACAAAATAAATTAGGGTTGTCTTGTGTGTGACTAAGTACACTTAAACATTCATACCAGTCTGAAACATTGCTTGCCATTAGTCCTGTGCCAAGATTGTTATCTACTGATCATTGCAGAGACATAGGACATTGGAAGCAGTTGACTACATTCAAGTCTCATCTGCTCCTGCTGCTCATAGGCGCTGAGTTCTGTCTTCAGCAATGACAAGCTACGAGGGGAGGACAGCTTTATACATATGTAGAATCTGATTTTTTTTTCTAGGAGCAAGGGATTTTTGTGACTTGGGCCTCAATATAAACTGGACCTGAAAGATCTCAAACTTTTCTGAATTTCAGCAAGCACCTTTAGAGGACTTAGCATCAGATATATATTTTTTAAAGTAAGATTGTAAGTTCTTATGAGTAGGGCCCTCTTAATCCTCTTGTTTTGATTGTATTGTAGCTGTACTGTCTTCCTTTATACTTTAACATAATATAATGTAAAACTAATTGTTACTTTACCTTATCACTTAATCTGATATTTCCTTATCGCTTCATTTCACTGCAAGTATACATGTTTGTGAATATGCAGGCATTTTTGGATTTGTATGTTATCCATGATGTTTTACGATTGTTAGTCTCATGATTTTATCAGTCACAATCATTTTTACATTATATTATGTTTTATTGCAGCCCTGATGAAGGGGTAGTTCCTTTGAGCCCCGAAACACATTGGCTGTCTTTTAAACATAACATCAATAAATGAATTTGGACTCTTATATCTGGTCTGGCGCTCCTTCCATATGTGCACAATTTTAATATGCAATTGTAACATATCTACAACATTGTAGGTGTTACCTTTCACAGAAATAACAGTACTCTGTCTAAAAATTTCTTCATCTGTTTTTTGTACTCAGTAACATGGAGCCACCTTTTAAATCATCATCCAGAATTTGCAAAAACTTCCTGGACTGAATTCTGGCTCAGAGATGACATGTAATCCCTGGTGCCTTTGCAGTCATTGGATGTTTTCCAAATGTCATACATAGATTGCTGCTGCACTTTGTGACTTGTCATAAAGTTACAATGTTGATGTCTGGCGACTTAAGAAAGGGGACTAGGGAAAATCCTTTCCTCTGCCTGCAGCAGACTGATAACAACATTTCATACTTGGCAAAGTCTCATGGCTGGTGCTCAAGGGCTGCTTTTTATAATGTTGATATATGGCATAGTGCAATTGTATTCGTGCAGACTCCACTGGAATGGAAGGACAGGTTAGAGTGGAAAAGAATAGTCTTTTGTTGAATTAAGACTGACAATTATGGTTTCTCCGCAGGTATTCAGCTTCGGAAAGTTCAAGAACAGAGAGAACAGGAAGCCAAAAAAGAGCCCGTGGGCAATGATGTGGCCACCATCTTATCGCGAAGAATTGCAGTCGAATACAGTGAGTCTGATGATGACTCTGAACTGGATGAGAATGAATGGTCTGATTAAGGATTTGGAATCCCTGTTTACTGAATCAGTTAAGCCCACATTGTCAATGCCAATTCTCACTATACCTCTGCAATTAACATGGTGTAACCCTCAGCCACCAGTATCACTTAGCTCTGTTTGCTTATGTCTTTGGATACCTACACAGTTCAAACTCTGCACTAATAAGTCAAAACTTCTGTCTTTGAATATGGTCAAGTAATGTGGTCTTTTTATTTGTGAGCCATAGTAATAAATTATAATATGCACAAATATACATATTTGCACTCAAGGATACATGAGCTGCACGTTCGTCTGGTTCTTTTTTACTCTTGACATATATGACAATGCAGGACTGGACTCACTTCACTGGAGACTCCAGCACATTAACCTTTGCACAAACCACTGGTCTTTTACACATAATATTGCCTAAGATTTTTGATTGTCAGAGAGTAGAATATCAGGAACAAATAAATCCTGGAACTCGTTTTACCACATTTCCAGTTCATATTCTAGAATGATATGATTGAAAGAATGAATGGAAAAATGTTTTCTAGTGCCTAAAGATAAATCTGGCTTCAAATAAGACAAACCCCCAAAAAATAAGTGACAGAGAGCACTTCATTCATGGGCAAACAAGCAGTGGACATAGCCAGTCAGAAATGATGTATCATTGGCTTTACTACACTAAACAAAATATTTAGTCAGTATAATTTCATATCACTGCAGGGTTGTCTTCTCCTTCTATAGGGAAGAGTAATTTCTGTTTAAAGGGAAACTATAATGGCTTTAGGTAATTTCTATCTAGTTTTCTGGATTAATGTTTTTAAGCTCCTGGTTTGTGCTTGTTCTTCAGCATTTATATACAATCATTATTTTGCAAATAAGCATTAACTACATGACAAAGGATTGCCAAAGTGCCATGGGCTATCTAAAGAGAAAGAACAATAGAGCAACCTGCCTTACTTCTGACACCTTCCACTCACTCCACTGATAAGGGGTGAGTCCCCTCTCTCTCTGATGACTGATTTCAGTTCTGTAATGAATGGGCCTTATTAAACACAGCTAAAAAGCTGTCATGTTGATGATGTGAAAAGAGTCATAGAACGCCATCTGCTGGCAGGATAGAAGGCCACAATATATTGATATGCAATATATCATATTTGCCTGACTGAAAAAAGAAAAATTATTTTTAAAAATGTTACTTTTTAGTCCAGGGCTTAATAGACAAATATTTGTAGAAAACCACTATACATTCCCTTTAAACCTATACTGACCTGATGTAGCTCAGTGCGGAGAATATTGCTGCATCTTTTTAGTTCAATCTTAGTTTATTAGATTTATCTTTGAAAACAAAACAAAGGAAACAACAGAAATATTCATAAAAAGTCACATTGTGGCGTATATAAATAAATGTATACAGATTTTCAACCTGAGTCTTCTAGTATACTGAGAGGAACATGGAAGCTGACCTCCTTCTGAAAATGCTATTTGCCCTATTTCTATATTTTGAGTCATGGACCTGGAAGGAAAAGCAGAAAAGTCAAAGTGAAATGATAACTCCAAATCTGCATCTTTCCTTTTCTGTGAGTCTGTGAATTAGAAAGTACTAAAGACACTGGACTTGGAAAGCCAGGAAAATAGTATTTTCAGATAGGGAGGTCAGCTTTGGGAACCTCAATGTTTCCTCATTACAAGTTTCCTTAATTACAACCTAAAGATGAACTTCAGGCAAATGATCTATTTTTTACATACACCTGTATGCAGTACTTGTGCTGAGGATAGCACTCCAGTATACACAAGTATAGCAGCGCACAGCCATTCATGGCAGTGACAGGTAGTATAATGCACCTGCACTGCCTGGGTGGAGGAAATACGCTAGGAGCTGTGCTGACCAGGTCCAGCCCATCTGCAAGAGCCCTAAGTATACTATACTATAGTGATTTTTATAATGACTTTTTTAATAAATAAATAATCACATTTTTAAAAATCTAAAAATAAATCAGAGAAATTAATCTTTTGGCACAAAATTAAAAGACGCAAAAACAGAAATGATCTTCAATTAAAACTGGCTTCTGAGTTATCCTATTGGTGGTTCAGTGTCATAATTGTCTTCACAGAGCAGAATGAGAGTAGGGCCAAGCTGTTCTTTTACAGGAAATTTCGGCTGTGATATGGATCATTCTGACAGGCAGTTTTCACATAAGCTATCTCTACCAATTCAGCTGTCTACATATACTCAGTTTGATTTGCAAAGGCCTGCAAAAGGTTTACATTGAGTGATGGCAGCAGAACAGATTTAGGGTACAAAACAATCACTGGGCACAATGCAATGAAAAATCAATGTACTGCACTGTAGTCCCTTAGATAAGTCTGTTTATTACATTCCTAGTGTGTATGTAAAATGTCTGTTTCAACAGCAAACTCCTACTGTTGCATTATATAACTTGCATAGTAACACTGAGTAATGCAATCATTGTTCATACTGCTGAAAGCAGTATTAAACCTAAAAACAAAAATGCAACATATTGCAGATTACCATTTTTTAGATGTCGTGGCTGTATTTGTTTTTTTTCCCCCTTTATTTTCACCTGTGATCCAGTAAGTAAGTCTGTCGTTTTCCACTTCTTTTAACAGACCAAGTTTTCCAGCAAAAGTGTCAGTTAGATAGTTGAGACAAACCATTTAACACTGACAAGGGTGCTTACAATGATCAGCCCATATAAAACCTTTATTCCAAAAGGAAACAAAAGTGTTGTAACTGCTTATAAAGTGTTAGCTGGACTTTAGCTTCAATTCGATAGTCAAGTTCAATTTGATAGTCAAGTTCAGATTGACAATGCTGCTGTCCCATCCAGAGTAGAGACACCTTATGAAGTGTGTTAGTGCCTAGATCAGGGGTAGGCAACCTGCGGCTCTCCAGCTGTTGCAGGACTACAAGTTCCATCATGCCTCTGCAAGTCATAGCTGTAATTGTCAGTTTTGTAATGTTGCAATGCCTCATACAAAATGTAGTTCCACAACAGCTAGAGAGCCGCAGGTTGCCTACCCCTGACCTAGATCATCAGATGAAAATAAAGGAAAACAAATAAATACAGCCACCAAATTTAAATTCTAGGTTTATTTTTTTTTTAGATTAGCACAAAGGATGTTACTTACATTGAATGTGAAGTTTCCCTTGTGCTGGTGGCTGCTGTCTATGTTGAAACCTTCAGTCCTCTGCACAATCAGTATTAACCCATGCAGCTACAGAAGATTACCACTGTGGGGGTTAACACAGCTGCTGGACCTGTGACAGACAAGAGTCAAGAATTCTGACTATGCCTGCTCTTTCCACCCCATCCTCCATTCATAAAAGCTGTACAATAGCTTCCATCAGTAGAAAGCGATCTTTGAACAAAGGAGATGGACCTTTCATTTATCTGCCTCTCCTCCATTCATATATCATTTTTCTTTGATAGAGGCCATAGAACAGCTTTTATGAATGCAGCATGGGGTGGAAAGGGTGGGCACAGTTGGCACCTTATTTTTGGGGGCCTATGACCAGGGGCTGCATTAACCCCCGCAGCACTGGAAGATTACCACGGTAAGGGGGTGCAGAGGACAGAGGATTTCAAGAGAGCTGCATGTCAGTGCCATCCTTGATTAAAGAAAAGTATGTAAACAATCTTTGGTTTTAAAAATTGGAATAATGAAAGTTATTACATTCTTGATTTTGGGTTTAGGCTAGGTTCACATCTGTGCGGGTGGTGCGGCTGCACAGATTTTCGTGCGGATCCGCAGAGGCACCACCCGCACAGATGTGAACCTAGCCTAAACCCAAAATTAAGAATGTAATAACTTTCATTATTCCATTTGTTCTACTGGCACGCCGCCCGCACTAGAAAACGCAAACGTACTGGGAACCAAGGTTCCCGTGCGGGCTGCGTTTTTGGAAGAAGTGCAGGGACTTCTTCCCTGCGTGTCCCGGGGCACGGGAGTCCATTCAAATGAATGGGCTCTCGTGCCTAAGCAAAACACGGCCCGCATGGCCGCATATATGTGAACTGGGGCTCCGTACTAGTAAACGTCTACAGTATGTGCCATGAACATGACATCTTAATACTGGTGAGTACCTCATATAAATACAGAATTTCCAGATACGTTACAGTCACATTCAATTACTTTCACATTAATGAAAAGGTTTTGAGAATTTCCATTGTTTTATTGTAATGTATTCCATGCTCAGTCCCGTTCTCCATGACACTATTGTGCAGAGTGTGCGCAGTTATTAGTAATCAGACAATCCAGATTTTCTTCTGTATCTGTCACTTTGGAGACGACATGGGATAGCTCCTCCCCCTCAAACAGTTGAGTTCATCCAGTCTCCTTGGAAACAATATTTCAGCTGGAACATCAAAGCGTTCCTGATTCCCTCTCTGCATCTTGTTGTGGCATCATAGAGTGAAGCTTTAAATAGCAAGCTCCCCGACAGTTATTTTTATTTTCCTTCTTCACACTAAATTCTCATTCCATTTATACAAAACATTAATATGTGCTTAAAATGTTATCTTCTTACGCTGTAGTGGAGACTGCTATTGAAGAGCTTCTTCTCTCTGACACTTGTTTGGAGGAAATGATCCAGATGACAGCATGGGGACAGATATACTACACCCTCAAGGTTGTCACATGTCAGCCTCAGGTTGGCACATAGTAATAGGAAATTAAGTCCTATACTACTTCTCTATATTACTTTCTGAGAACACAGATGAGGTTCCTATCCTGTGCTGTATGCTGCTATTGATTGGATCTCAGAGGCAGTACTAGTTCTAGGGAAGTCCTATCCTTGTAAGTGAAGCTGGGCAGGCCCGTTCTCCGTAGGACCCAGCCGGTGACAACATCCAGGATCGCGTGAAATACTTTTTTCTGTTCAGCCAGTGAGCAGACATTTGCTGGACCTATGAAAGCGCATATAACAATGACATGCACTTTCTATTTGCCTTTCAGTGAGCTGTCACAACAGCCATTAGTGATCCACATTATAT